GCGCGGACGCAGGCGGTTGACGTCACCGGTGCGGGGACGAGAAGCTCAAAACAAGGGAGGCGGGGGAGAGAGGGAGAGAGCTTACATCGAGAACGTGCACGCGCGCGCGCAAAGGGCCGCAGAAGGGAGGGGAACAACAGGATTAACACAGTCGCACTCCTAGGAAGACGGTCCCCCAGTTCAGTTTCCCCGTCCCCGCCCGGACAAGTACATTCACACATGCATGCAAACAATCAACAACCCTTGACAGGACATCTAATCATCCATAGACCTTCGACATCACTCATGCGCACAACCAGCTCCCTTCACTCGGGGCTTCACACACACGACATGCATAGACAAAGCAGCAATGGAGATAAAAGTGAGTCCTTCTTGTACACAAAAAATTCAATTAACTGCTGCCCCCAGGCGCAGCCTTCAAAACCTCCCAAGACCACCGACCACCATAGCCACAAGGCCCTGCCGCGGCCGGCGTCAACTCCCCACCACTCCTCAGTCCCTCCGACTGCATCGCCCCGAGACTACCGCGGGTCCACCCCACGTCGTCACTCCGCCCGTCCTTGGGCTCATCGAGCCTGTTCGGCGCCGCGGACTTTCCCGCATAGCTTGCGCAGCATTGCAGCCGAGATCAAAGAGAAAGAGAGGAGAGGGTTGCGCGAATTTACAGCGCGGGAGGCGGCGGGTTGTCAGCGCGAGGTGCGGGCAGCGCAGGTTGTAGATGAGCAGGACAGGAGGAAGGTGGGGAGTTAGAGGGTTCGACCCGCGGGATGGCACGGTCCTACGTGATTGGGGTGTCCGTTCAAGTGGCGCGCGGTTTCCCGCTCTCCACATTGATCCGAGCATCCCAACTACGCGGCCAATCACTTCGCGGGGATAGGATCGAGTTGGGCGGAGGGGAAGACGAAGAGTCCGGCATGGGGAAAATGTGTGCAGCAAGAAGGGAAGATGGCGCGGGGATGCAAAGCAAGAAATGGGGATGCGAGACCCGCGAAGAGATCGCAGCTTGGGCGTGCGCGCGCAAAAATTCAAAAAGTCCCAACCGCCCCCGTTTCTTGGTTTTCATACCGCGGCCGCTATTCGCCCGCGCAGGAGTTATTAACCAAACAAAATGAAAAAGCCGTTTCAAAAAGAAAACAAAAGCAGAAAGAAAGAAAAACCCCTTTCTGTCCGTGTCCGTACTTCAGGGCGTCCGTGGGATTTTTCCTCAGGGATACGGGAAGCCGCGCGGTACGGAGCTGAGCTTATCACACGCTGAGCGCACCACAATGCTGTAGGTACAGCAAGGTGAGCCACCAGCCACAATTGGCTCGCGTGTTTAACCACTGGAAGATCCAACAGAAGTTTCCAATACCTTGAGAACCCCTGAGCCAGTCTCGGAAGCATGTCTTGTATCCATCCGGTAGCCATCCATCTTTTTGCCACAGTCCAGTTGACATCGGTCTGCGGTCTCATCAGTTTATATCCCAGCTTTGTAGTATATTTATAGAGGAAAACCGGTTGTCGCCGTCGAGAATCTATCGTCCAACCCCAGTCCCTGGGGTCCACAGGCAGAGTGTATGATGGCTGTGCTAAACAGAAAGGGCGATTGCCATTAGGAGTCTCCAAGACACACACCGGTTGCATCTCCGACTGTTGGGGTGGCGGCGCAGGAATCTCCGGCCACTGCATCTCCGAACCCGGCGAACAAGGGGAAGGGGATGTAGCCCAACAAACCAGCTCGCCAGTTTCTTGTTTATGCCACAGATATTGTGGGTCACAGTCTCCTGCAGTCTTATACCAGCCCCCAGAACGCAAGGGTAAGCCGGAGCGGAGGCATTGTTGCCAACGCTGTGGAATCGCTTGCTGCAGCGAAAGCAAGTGCTGGGTCTGATGCCACAGACCAATCAGCACTGGTGCCAAATCAGAGACCGGCTTATGTCCCAGATATCCATTATGGTCCCCACTCCCCTTGCCATCCAAGAGTCCCCGAAAGCCCCTGGACCGAAAAAAGAAAAGGGGACACCTTCCGGAGTGAGGATAGCCGGATTGTTAAATAACGGTTGTGTATTATGTATTGTCTAACATTGATTCACTAAAATACCTTGAACTATTGACAGTTAATAATTTCAAGGTTAAACTATCTTTGGATTTCAAAAGGCCCCTATAGTCTAGCTGGCCTAGGACACCTCCCTTTCACGGAGGCAACGGGGATTCGACTTCCAGCGGCCAAGGTAAGGCCACGAAGCGGGGTTCAGGCCTAAGGCCAAAACACTCTGCCTTTCTACGCAAAATAAAGAAAGCACTCTGCCACACACCACACACAACCCGCTCATATGCACACTCACACCCACCTTGGCCAAACACCCTCCTACCAAGACCGAATAGAGGGGGGGTCTGTTATCCCAGCGGGTGCCATTGCGTGCCCCAGGCAGTTGGGGCTGAACCCACTACCTCCTGAATATGCCGCTTGCGTGCTTAGCAACTTAGACGAACTTTTTCTTTTTTTTTCAGTGCTAATGAAGGATGTCTGAATGTGGACGCGTTTCAGGCCAAGGACATGAACTCTTACCTTTATCCAGCGGCCTATCTCAGGCCCAGATCCCACTGGCAAAGAGGATTGGAATAAGTGTCTGAATGTGGACGTGTTTGTGGACAGGTGTGACAAATTGTGATGGACCTACTTTTCTGCATTTCTGCGTGGAACACGTCCAGAGGCAGACACTTATTCCAATCCTCTTTGCCAGTGGGATCTGGCCCTCAGTTGGTAGGTCCTGGGTTCAATCCCCATCGGGCTCATGTACCTAAGTTCCTGGGCATGCTTGGCGCCAGCCACCTTGAGATAGCCCTTTGGTCCGGCCTTTTGGCAGTAAAAAGCAGTCTTTGCTGGCTGATGTTCATAGGGTGGGAGGGAGGAGGGGAGGGAGGAGGGGTAATGGGGGAGGCACAGGGACTGGCCACTCAGATGATGCCCGGTCCCTTCTGCTACAGCCTGTCCCCTGGCCGGTCTTCCCCCCCCCCATTGGGGGTTCCCTGAAGGCAATAAGGCC